TTCGTCCTCAATTGAATTAACATCCACCCCAAATCCAGCATCCGCTCTTCCACATCATATTCAGCGTCAGACTCTTCATTAATATTTTGTGAGTTTTCATTGCATCCATCTTCAGATATATTTCATTGCATCCATCTTCAGGTACCTCGATCTTCTTTCCAATTCTTCTTCCCGGATCTCGCGGAAACGTTGGTCTTCAAGCTGATGACGTAAATAACGGCAGATTGATACACATGTATCACATTCGCCACATTGCTGACAGTCTTTAAATTAAAAAAAAAGTAAGAGCGAGGTAAAAGTTTAATCTCGGGCAGGATTCGATCCTGCGACCTCCTGGTAGTTTTTGCTAGGCGCTTTCGCTCACCACGTACAAGTGTTTTACCAACTTATCTAATGAGCGTTTTATATACTAATTAGCTGGATCTTTCTCTTCCTTACAAGAATAGTTTTAAAATCATGTTCACCTACTTCGCCAAGTGATACTTGCAAATTTTCAAAAGTATTTGGAGGAATTGTTCCATTTTGCTGTAGCATTTCATTTGCCTCCACAATTTGTAATACTATCTGATGTCGTATAATTGTAGCATCCTCTCGTCTAATTCGAAGATATTCACACTCACCGCACGTTCCGCAATTATTACAATTGCGTCTTCGTCTTATTCCAGTTCTTGTAGTGAAGGGTGTTTCGGTTAACTGTTGTTGTGGTTGTTGTGATTGTTGGGCTCGTTTCGGTTTTTGTTGTTGTTGCGGTTGTTGTTGAACCCCCTATGTAACAGGGGGAACTCGGCGCAGGAATGCCCGGCCGCTACCCAACCCATTTTCCAGGAAGCCTTCAACCGACTCCAAACGAGCAAGTAGTTGAATAACCGTGAACATAAGTCCACGATTTTGCTCCTCAAGAGCATTAATTATAGTTGTGTTGTTGTTGGGCATTTTAGTAAACTTAATAAAAATTTAAATTGAAATAAATTTAAAAAGCCCAAATTAAACAAGGACAAATTTTAAAATTAAATTCAATAAAAAAATATTTGAAATAAAATTAAAAATAAAACAAAAATAATTATTAAAATATAAAATAAATAAAATTTTAGAAGCCATTTAAATTCATTAAAAATTTAAAAATAAAAAATAACAAATTACAAGTTAAATAATTATCAAATTAAATCAAAATAAAATTTAAAGAAAATTTTTATTAAAACTTTTTAATTTAAAATTTAATTTACTTAAACAAAATTATAATAAAATAAAAATTAAATAAAGTTTAACTTAAACTTAAATGTGACATTTGATTTTAAACTTTATTGTTAAAAGATTTCAAACCTAAAAGGATCACTTTGAATATGTCTTCTTTTGTTGGATGTTCATTATTCGTTGTTTTATAAATTAAAAATATAAAGTAAGTAAGTCAACTAAATACCTAATATTACAAAAAATTAAAATGAATTATTTTGTAGAATTTAAGTTATAAATCGTTTAAATATTTAAAAAGTCGTAGATAGTTTCCAGCTGTTACACTATTAAAAAGCCTCTTATGCGTTAGTCTCTTATGCGTAAGCCGATCAGTTCACATGTTTATTTGTTGTAAAATTGAATCTAGAAAATGAAAGAATTTTAGAGTTAGTACATTCAAAAAATTATTTTGGAATTTCAAATTACAAAAATTCATATAAAAATTATTATAACAAAAACAAAAGAACCTTCGCTTCTTAAAATCAAGAGGAAGAAATCTCATAATTTTTAGTACTTGTGCATGCACAGATCCATATCTCACCATTGGAAGAATTTTTGGCATACTAGAATCATCTATAGAGACCAAGCATTTTCTAAAAAAAAGAAAAGTGAAAAAATTTGATCAAGATTTATAAAAACTATAAATAAATTCTTTAAGGTATAAAATTTATTTCGAATTTTGACGAGTTTAAAACCAAATAACTTATCAAAAAATAAAATATGTATTAAACAACCTCATTAATAATTTCTTCTAAAGTTTGTTCTTATAGAAATTCTGTCAATTAATTCAAAATTCAACTATCCACTACTTCCATTATTGTCAACATTTATGGAATTACTTAAAACATCCATGCTTCCATTTGTGATCATAATAAGTAAATTAAATGCTGAAATTTTATAGACAAATGGACGAAAAAGGATTAAATTGTAGTTGATCAGATAATAAAAATATTTTTGTAAAAAAGTTATTTAAATGTTTAAAAAATAATTATCATTGAAAAATTACAAGAGATTATATGTATTTATTCACCCGAAAAAAAATAAAATTGATAAATGATCAGGAAAATAATTTAAGTAAAAAAGTCACTAATTAAAAGCCACGGTACTTTAAAAAAAAGTAATAATTGAGCAAAAAATGTATAATAAATGTTAAAGTCCGGGTTCTTGGCGACCGGTTAATTCCAGCCTATGGCGGTTTAAAGGGGGAATAATAAGAGCGTTTAAACCTCCCCAGGTAATAATTAACCGGTTGCCAAGAATCCCAGTTGAATTTAAAAATTGGACAAATAATGTTTGAATAAGCTCCTCTCGTTATAAATAGGGAACGGATTTTTATGGATTTCCTAATTTTTTTCCTGGCCTAGTTGGGTTCTAAAACGTCCAAAAAACATAGTTTTAGTATATGTTGATAAGCCGTTTTTGAGTTATCAATCTATATTTTGACATTTTTTGTCAAATTTTGCCATAAATTGATCCATATTTTTCGTTTGATAGTCCTTATAAATCCGTTCCCTACATATAAATAAATAAATTCGTAAAAATTAAAACATTTTAATTTAATGTCCAATTTTTAATTAGGTATATCACAAAAAGGCCATGTTAAACAGGTATGAATGAAAAATGCTGATAGTTTTTGTCAATTTAAATTTTTTGTTTAAATTCTTAAAGCCAACCATGAGACTTAAATTCATTACTTATAACCTCATAAATTGCCGCTTCTGCACTGCCTGGATCAAACAATTTAAAATTGAATTCAGTTGAGGTAGGTAAACGTTCAGATAAGAGAATAACTCCCTCAGGTGCCATATCCAAATATCTGAAAAAAAATTCATTTTTTGACAACAAAAGTAATTTTTAAAATAATGTAAGAGAACATAAAGCTATCCCCCAAGGACGTAGCCAGGGGTGCTTCTGGGCTATACCCCCACTCATGAAATGGGGAAAGTGAAAAAATGTTAGGAGGGAAATGATCAGAAAAGTGAATTTTTTACGCCTACAACACACAAAATTCTCAAAATTTTCGCTGCGGCGCTGAAAAAATAAAAATATATGACAATAAAATGCGCGTTCGGAACGTCAAAGTAAAACAAAAAAATTTTTGGCGCACACCCCCATTTTATCCACCTGAAATCGACCTCTTGGCTACGCCCTTGCTATCCCCTATGATTATCCTTTTTTCAAAAAACAAAGTGGCTTAACAGAAAATAAATTGAAAATGAGGAGAATTTAAAATTCTAACCAATGCTTAAACTAAATACAAAAAAACTCCTCAGGTAAAAAATAAAAATAAATTAAAAAATATCCAAAAAATTTTCCCAAATTTTCAATTTACCCCAAAAAATTAAAAATATACTTTTTGACTGCCTCAAGAAATTTATACAGAAAAACAAAGCAGCAAGCCACATTGACACCAGACATGGACAAATGATTAGCCAAAGAACTCATTTCGAGATATTCAACTTGATTTAATCGACCTAAAAATTAAATTGAAAATTTTTTAAAAATTTCAAGAAAACCATTTTCATGAATTCCAATAGCCAATTTTCTAATTCCAGCCAAATAAGCTTGGGCCCACCATCTTAAGACTAAAAAGGAAATTTTTTTAGAAGATTCACAAAAAATTAAAAACTTTATCCCAAAAGGGGCGGAATCGTTATTTTCATTACCTGCAAGGAAAGGAAAAATGGAGACGGACGGACTCGGACAGACGAAAACAAGACGGACCCGAACAGACAAAACACGGCAGGAAATATTTTAAAAACTGATAGACATCCGTGTTTTGTCTGTCCAAGTGTGTGTATGGACGTCAGCCTTTAAAGTGTTTAGTATAAAAACCCAGCCAATAGTTAGTTCTCGCTCTGTTTTAGTTCTTCCTACCACAACTTCATCTTCTTTGTATTTTCCTTGTGTGATAAACTTCTGTTGTGATTGCCTACGTAAGCGGGGTCGTAACACCGAGTACGTCTGTGTTCTGTCTGTTCGTCTCCATTTTTCTCTTTTCCTTGCAAGTAATGAAAAAACGATTCCTCCCTTTTTTTGGGATAGGGTTAAAAAAACCTTTATCAGTAAATCCCTGCCCAAATCCAAGCATTTTATATTGTGTTTTGAGCTAAATTGAGCTTAAAATTAAATTGAAATTGAATAAACAACCCCCAAATATTGTCCACTCGAGGGCACTATACAATCAATTTCAGCTCCATAAAATATTCGAAAATTGGAGGAAGGGTCCTTTTGAGAAGGAGCATTAATTGTAGCTGAAATTAGTCAAAAAATAAAAATAAATTAAGAAAAGGAATAAAATAATCGAGTTTAGGCTTTTTAATACCAGAAAAAAAATTTTTAGTAAAGGCAAAAATGTTTTCGAAAAATCGAAAAAAATCAAAAAATAGAGCAAATCTATTAGAGAACTGCTCAAGTCTGAAAAAATATGTTTTCAATAAAATCCCAGATTCAAGGATTTTTTTAGCTTACTAGAGGATGTAATCGGCATAATAAAAGTTCCTTGACCAAGACACCGGTTTTTTAAAATATATAACTAGGGTTGTTCACTACCGGCTATTAACCGGTACTCTCCGGTTTTCGGTTAATCCAAATTTTAAAAACCCGGTTTTCGATTTTAAGCAAATACCGGTTTTATTTTGGAGGAATCTTTTTAAAAATCACTCAATTTCAGAAATTTTCGGTTTTTTAAATTTTGTAAAAACGGTTAATTTTTGGCAAAAAAATATCAAAATTTTCGGTTTTAAAACCGCTCGTGAGGAACCCTATATTTAACCTATAAAATGACAAAATAAAGCGGAAACCCGACAAAAATAAAATTTCCAAACCTTTAAAAACCCCAATAAAATCGGGTTTAACACAAACAGTCTCCTTAAAATCAGGCCTTTTTCCCTGTCCTTTTGTAGTAACAAGCTGTTTAAATTTGTGTGCTTCATAACACATTCGATTATGTCTATCAATCATATTTACTTCTTTTTCAATTCGAGTTGGAGTGTAATACTCACGAATGAAATAAACGCCTAAAATTTGTAGATTAAAGGAAAAAGGAAATCCAAAAAAACTATTAATTGCTCTATTTTCGATTACCCCCACCCCCTAGACTTTAAGAAAAAATTTGAATAAATTATTTTTCGAAAGATCAAATCGGGCTTAAATTTTGATCCGAAAAATCTCGACAAGTCCGACTCAAGAAAAGACTTGAAATTCGAAAACGTCAACCCTAACCCTAAACCCCCACCCTCTAAAAAACAAAAAATTTAGAAATAGACTGAGAAAAATTTGAATAATTTGTTTCTACCCTCTATAGGATTTCCGGTCCGATTCGAAAGATCGACTCTGTCCTAAATTTTGGCCAGAAAAAGACGACCGGTCCGCCCCGAAAAACTACTCGAACGACGGCCCGATTCGAAAATGGCAACCCTAAACCTCTAGAAATTATTAATTTTGCCAAAAATAATAAAAAAAAGCAAATTTTTAGTTCCCGAAAACAAAGGAAATATTAAAAAAATAAATAACACAAAAAACCTTTTAATTTGCAGCAAACAAGTTTCATACCCACAGAATGAGGAATAGAATCAAAACAGGAAGTCATCAAACGTAAAAGAGTTCCACGGCAAATAACAAAATCGCAGTCATGAATTATCTCTTTTAAAATACTATTTGGAGGGGCCAAAGAAGAAATCCAACGAGTCAAAAAAATAAGCCCGTCATCCTCCCTTTCTTTAATTATATCTTGGTTGTAACCATCAGACAATTTTGCTTTAATTGGCATTTTCTTCCCTTTGGCTACAACGGCCTCATAAAAATAACGAGCCTTGGAACGGCCGAGAACAGGACGACGGTTGTTATCCAAAGAAAATTCGGCAACACGAACTTAAATTTTATAATTTTTACGTTCGTACACCCCCCCCCCTCCCTCCTTTTTCCTTCCTCAAAGTATTAAAAAATGTTCAGTCAGTCTTAGGTTAGTAAAATCGTCGAGAGGACTACCCCGGCCCAAAGTTAAGACCGGGGGTGATTTTAGTGTCATTCGACACAGCTCGACGAGTTCTCTAAACTAAGTCTGACTGACCATTCTTTAATACTTTGAGGAAGGAAAAGGGGGGGGGGTACGGAGGGGGTATTACTGTAGTTTTTCTCTTATTTTTTATAGATTAAATTACTAATTCCTATGACTCAATAAATACTGGAGAGAAAAAGTGAACTTGAGGGAGGACGAAAATCTGACTTAAAAAGGGCATTTTAAAGGAAGAAATTGGGAGAGGGATGCAAAATTAAAAAAAAATCTGGTATCCGTTATCGAAAAAGGTTGAATGAACAAAAACGATTTATTATTTAAATAAAAACCTGGCTCTGAAAGTAAATTAGTTTTTTGATCAACGTTGAGCAAGTTTAAAGGATCTGAAGAAATGTTAGGAAGAATTGAAAGACTCATTTCTGGTAAAAAATAATTTAAAACGAAGGTGTCTGAAATTAATCTTTAAATAAATTGAAAATATTAGCAAAGTTTGGGCAAAAGGTGGAAAATTTAGCTGGAAATTATCAAATTTTCCTTATCAATTTTGTTACCAATCTCTTTAGCTTGATGAGGGGAATCCTTTAATTTCGGTAAGATTCCGAAATCGTGAAGCAAGTTAAGGCGTTGCGCCGTTTGTACACAGTTTGGGCTCTTAGAGCAGCCAGTAGAGTGCTGAAAAGATGGTAGCACACGGAGCACCACGTTTGGGCGCCATTTTTTCGGCGCATCATGTTTTCAGCGTGAGCAACTATAACTTTATTCATAATCATCCGATCGAGCTGATTTTGATGTCAGTCGACTCTGCTAACCGAGCTCTTTCGAGTGAGATTCCCTTCGCAGAAAAAAGTTTTTGCCGCTGCGGAGGAAGCCGGGTATGTCGAGAGGAACGACGGCCGCCGCTTCGCTACGGTCGCCCGATCGAAAAGCGGTGACAACCTATTCAACAACAGGACCGTTTTGCACTAGAGAGATAATAATAGGATGCTGTATTGAGAACATTTATTGAGTTAGTTGATGATTGTCTGCTCTCAAATTTTAGAAAAACTGGAGGGCAATTAATTTAAAAGTATTTAAATATCAATGTAAATTCAAGTGCTGATTAAGCAGATAAGTAGTCTTTTGGATTGGTCTACTAAGTGGACAGGCCCATATTTGGCCTAAACACAACCACTAATACTATCTGATTTAGCTTTACAAGAAGATGAGTCAACTACATTGGCCAAGTAGAAAAAACTATTTTATTAATTAATTAAATTAAACCCTCAAATTCTGTTTACAATTGTCATATTTTCGAATGTCGTAGACCTTTCTCTCTCTCACACTCACATTCTCTCTCTCTCTCTCTCTCTCTCACACTCACACTCTCTCTCATAAGATCAAAGGATCAAAGGGAAATTAAATAATAAATTGATTTAAAGTCTAGTGATTGCTTGTTTATTATAAAATATTTAAAATAAAGGGCAAAATCCGATTTATTCTCGAGGATGGAGAAAATAAATTTATATACATACTTATTTATTCTTGTTTTTAAATAAATAAATATTAAATTTTGAATAAATTCTCTAATATTTTTTTTGTTTTGAAAGCTAACTTTTTCAGTTTTTCGTTGTTGCCCGTCCCCGTAGGGCGATTGGTAATTCTTGCGTTCGTACCCCTTTCCCCCTTTTTTTCCTTCCTAAAAGAATAAAAAATGGTCAGTCAGTCTTAGATAATAGAACTCGTCGAGCTGTGTCGAATGACACCGAAATCAACCCCCGTCATAACTTTGGGCCGAGTTACAGACAAAAAACCTGCACAAAGCGCAGGTTTTTTTACATAAAGCGACTCATCGACTACAATATGATTACTTTATGTCATAACTTTGTCAAATCCTGTTCAATTACGTTGATTTTGATGTCATTCAAACCAACTCGTGAAGTTCTTTCGATGAGCTATTATTTTTTAATCGAATTTTTAGCCCAAAAAATGAACTTGGTCCCCCTTTTGTTTTACAATTTTCGGAGGTCTGTATCTCGGCCTGAAGTTAAGAACGGGGGTTGATTTCGGTGTCATTCGACACAGCTCGACGAGTTTTATAACCTAAGACTGACTGACCATTTTTTAATACTTTAAGGAAAAAAAGGGGGTACGAACGCAAGAATTACTTGGCAATTTATCAGCAAAATATTTTTACACCTATGACGTTTAAAATTCTCTTGACTCTCCAGAATTTTATCATTCCCATCCTTTTTCCTCCTCCCAGTTCCGCTGCTTCCCATAAACTTTCCACAAGGAAATTTTGTTGTTGAAAAAATGATTTTTCAGGTTGGGCTATCTGGATGGTCAGGCTATTTGTTTAACACAGGGTTCCGATCGACAAAATGGCAATTCAAAAATACGAAAATCTCGATTTAAAAGTAAATAGGCTGACAGTCTTAACCTCAAGCAAGTTTCTTTCTTTCGTCCATTAATACTTGCCATTGAGAAGATGCGTTCTATAAATGCATTTGAAACTGGAATCTTTAAAAAATAAATTTAATAAAGGAAATAGGAAATGTGACCGAAATAGTTGCACTGACGATCCGATACAACTTTTTTTAATTTGCACTTAAAAAAGTGCAAGTTCAATTTCGTAACTAAGCACGGAGGTCGATTTAAAATTACAATACTTTTAAAAAAGTACGAATCGGAACCCTGGTTTAACAGTATTAAAACGAAAAGTTGGCTGGAATCGGAATAAAATTTTAACATAGTAATTTTTTTTTCTCGACTTGAAGCTCCAAGGAAAACTTAATTAAAACGTAAATAGTTGAATAAGTTTCAGGGAACGCGCCGATAGAAAATCGTTAAATGTCCAGCTCGCTTTCTACCTTCCAAATGCAGTCCGCAAAGGCTGGACATTTACCCAAAAAATCAAATTCTCGATTTTCGGGAATCGTGAATTGGGTCGGCGCGATCCCTGATAGAGACTGTTTTTATATTAGAATAAATACGGTAAGTTGTCCAAAATAGAGATGGGATTTGAAATGGCGCGAAAAGTATCTATCCTGTTTTCTAAAATTTTTATTCACCCAATATTTTTTATTTAAGATGTTAATTCTATATCCATTTTTATTAACAATTACTTTTTGTTGGTCAATGGATATTGAATTAATAATTAATGAGGATTACCTACAAACTCGTCAATTTAATTATTTGACAAAATTAAAAAATAAACAAAATTTAATTTGTTCTTTTAAATATATTTTTGAAAATAAAGAAATTATTGTTGGAGGACATTTAAAAAATGAAAATAATAATTTTATTTTTTATAATATTCCAAATGATTTTATTTTAATTAATGAAGGGGAAATTAGGGAAAATACTAAAAAGTATTCTGAGGTTGAATTTATTATTGAATTACCTAGCAATTTGGTTTTAAAAAAATTTATTTCTGTACCAAAAAATCAGGTATTTTTTAAAAACTAAAATTAAAAAAAACTCCCAAAAAATATAAAAAATTCTCAAAAATAAGCAGCTCTCTATTACTTTTACTATGAGATAATCATTGACAAAATAATAAAATATACTAAATAAATAATTGTTTGGTCTTATTTCCTCCCCCCCTCCCGTCAAGGGTTTGGCTGATGTACGAAATGCTCAGCCATTTCTTCCTTGCATAATTTAAAAAATTTCCCTTCTGTAACATTCATTCAGTCACTCTCCTTGAATAATTTTACCTTTTTATTTGTGAACATCTTTGTATGAAAACTAAATCGCGGACTGGGGGGAGGAGGGGGGAAGGAAATATGTACTAAAAAACAATTTTTAAATCTATTTACTTAAATTAAAAAATCTGGGTAAATATAAAAATTTGTTACTCCAGCTATATGTAAAGCTGGCTTCGAAGCTAACTCTTGAAACTAATGGGCAGTAAATTGAAGTTAAATTAATACTAAATATAAACAAAAATTGTTAAATAGGTATTTGCTTCTTTTCATAAAAATTCTATTTTTAGGTGTTATATCGAAGGTTTAACTCAAATAATTCGCATAATAGTTTTCAAATTTCGATTTTGACAGAATTTAATTTAAATAACGAAAATATCCAAAATAAAATAATTATTTGCCAAAGAATGTATTTGGAAAATATTTGGCAAGAAATTTATTTAATTGATAAAAAATTGGAATTAACAGAAAAATTAAATAAATCAGAGCCAAAAAAATTAAATGAATTACAACATAAATTTATTAACGAAATTAAAAAGTGTTATGAAAAAGTTGGAAATACTGATTCCTCTACAAATGCAATTTTTAAAGGTAAATTATAATTAATTGTAATACATTTATTCAAAATAAACGACCCAATGTGAGATGTGACTAAAACATCTCTATTCTCAATGAAAATTGTGTGGGTGTTTGTTTTGTTGAGTCCATAACAGAGCTGTGTGGAAATAAAAATCATCGGAAATCAGAATTTAAAAACAGGCTGGTCCATAATAGTGGAAGTAAGTTAGGTTCTTGGAATTTTTGTCTTTGACGGAAAACCTTTTGATTTTGTAATATACTTTAGCTTTAGAAAACAAAACAAAACAATTTTAATGGGTATACTTTCAAAGAATAAACTATGGTCATTAATAATTCATTAAAAACTTAATTTCATATTTATTTAATCATTTATAAAATTCTAAAATTATTTTCTTTAAATTTAAATATTTAAGGAAAATATATTTTTTATCTAACTCAATTTGAAGCTACAACAATTTTAAATAATTTAAAATCTCTTTTAAAAATTGTTAACAAATTCCGTCACATTTCAAATATTTTATCGCCAATTTCTAAATCTAAAATGGCTAAAAGATATTTACGAAAAATTATTAATAAGCTAACTAAAGGTTCAAATAAAGGAAAAGGAAATTT